GGCGATCGCAATAGGTCACTTGAGACTTTGTCTCAGGTGACCTAAAAATTGACTAAAATAAAGCTACAGGCAAAATATTAGTGTCTTGACTTGAAGTCATTCAGAAGAATCTGTTAAATGATTAAAACACATTTGCCCCCTGTGACCTTGAAAGTCGAACATGGACATGAAGTTGAACAAACTTTATAGCCCTTCATCCCAGAATGCAACTTGCCAAATAACACCACCCTATACCTTTTGTTTATTGAGAAGATGACTTTTACTTGAGAAGATTTATGCACTATGGACCAGATGTGACCATGAAAGTTTGTCAAGGTCATTCAAATGAACAAGCAATCACCCTGTACGCTTTAGTTATTCAGAAGAAGTCATTTGAATATTTCAACATATTTGACCCCTATGACCTTGAACATGGGTGAAGGTCATTCATTTGAACAACCTTGGCAGCCCTTCATCCCAACATCCTTCTGACAAAATATCATCACCCTGGACATTTTGGCTATACAGGAGAAGTTGTTTATTGGTTTTTAAGACAATTGACCCCAGTGACCTTATCTATGGGCGAAGGTCATTCATTTAAACAAACTTGGTAGCCCTTTATCCTCGCATGCTACTGCCCAAATATCATCAACCTGGAGCTTTCGGTAATTCAGAAGGTTTTTAAGACAATTGACCCCTGTGACCTTGAATATAGGCCAAAGTCATTCATCCAAGCATCCTTCTGACCAAATATCATCACCCTGGACCTCTTTGTGGTTATACAGAAAAAGTTGTTTAAATGTTTTTAAGACAATTGACCCCTGTGACCTTGAATATGGGTGAAGGTCATTCATTTGAACAAACTTGGTAGTCCTTCATCCCAACATCCTTCTGGCCAAATATCATCAACCTGGACCTTTTGGTTATACAGAAGAAGCTAAAGTTATTTAAAGTTTTTAAACAAGTGACCCCTGTGACCTTGAATATGGGCAAAGGTCATTCATTTGAACAAACTTGGTAGCCCTTTATCCAAGCATGCTATTGCTTAAATATTGACACCCTTGGCCTCTGGGTTATTTAGAAGAAGTTGTTTGAAAGTTTAAACATAGTTGACCACCCTGTGATCTTGAATATGGGCGAAGGTCATTCATTTGAACTAATGTGATAGTGCTTCATCCCAGCATGTCATTGGCCAAATATCATCATCCTGGGTCTTCTGGTTATTCAGAAGAAGTTGTTTAAAGATTTTAACATATTTGACCCCTGTGACCTTGAAAATTGGCAATTAAACTTGGTAGCCCTCCATCCCAACATGCCTATGGCCATATATCATCAGCCTGGGCCTCTTGGTTATTCAGAAGTTGTTTTAAGTGGGCCAGGTGAGCTAAAAACCTACCAAAGACATGACTTTTTTTCTCTCTGGTTCTCCATCAAACTCCCATCCATGTCGTGATATGCTCTTGTTATACTTTGGTTTCTTCTTCACTTCCTTACTCTTCTGCCTCTCGTAGACTTTTTCTGCCGACTTCTTGGATTTGGGTATTTGTAAGGCGACCTTTTTCTCCACTGACTTTTTCTGTGAGCCTCCCTTCATGCTGCTTACTGAGGTTTTCCTCTTCGACTTTTCACTTGTTGGGTCCTTGCAATTGTGGGCCAATGAGGACAGGACAGGTTTGATGTCTTCGGGCTCACCTACATCAATGTCAACATCGCTCTTGGACTCCTCTGAATCAGTGACATGTTTAGGAATGGGCGGTCCATGACAGGTGTCATGAGGGACGGGCTGGTGGGGCATGGGTGTGGTTGTAGGGGGGTAGTAGATACCAGACGCAGTGTAACACGCCGGGCAACCTAAAGCAAACAAATCCACAGACATGAAAAATACATAATGTTCTTCAATTTATAACACAAATCAAGACATACAGTTTTATAGATGCTTATAAAATCATAAAATATTAAATATAAGTATCTACGGACCCAGGAGTACTGGGCACACAACAAAGTCATTAAATTTGTTTACCAATTTTATACAGGTAAATGATCATGACACTGAAGCCATTTTACATGCTTTATTACTACAGTCAAACCTGCTGGCCAGGGCCTACCTCTTAATAGAGACCACCTGTTATAATACCACATTAAAAACTTCCTGTTACAGTTATTATCATGTTAAATGAACCTGTATTAAGAAACCCCCTTCAATAGGAAACCCCATTATAGACTTCCTGAAAGTGTCAGAATACAGGTTTGACTGGTGTATTATGTATTTAATACTGTAATGTGTTGTCCTTACCACAGTGAGGTAGAGCTGAGTGGCTGGTGGGGTAGGAAATGGGGAAAGAGCTGCCAAAATGCTGTGGATACGACACCACTTGTACAGAACTAATGCTGCCAATACCCCCCAGAGTATAGGACTGGCAGGGTGGGGTTGTGATGAGGCCACTCCTCTGTGCACAGCGGGGACAGGCTGGCAGAGTTTGGTGGGGCACCACTGTGTTTACATATGGCGATCCCTCGACGATCTGTACATGTGGCGGCACACTGGTATAGGTGGGGGTGGTTGAATCTAGGTGACAGCCTGTCTCTTCTGAAAGGATTTCCCCCTCCTTACTCTCACTAAAGTCGGACTTCCCCCAGTATAACTTCCCTGTAGATGAACACATTGCTTGTTGGTAGCAACCCATACATTGCACACCAGAGTAGCGCTGTTTCGGAGCTGCAGACAAATCAGTTCTTGCTGCCCTTTGAGTGTCGGTTTTCATTTTTTTTGTTTTTGACTTTGTCTGATCTTTGTCAGACAGTTTTCGTTTCCTTGGTTGCTTATCGTCTGCTTTCTTGTTCTTAGCTGTTTTTGTAAGTGACCTGTCACAACTGGTGTTCACTTGATTAAGTCGTTTGTATTTAGATACGATAGATTTAGTTTTTGTACTTTTGGGTGATGTTCCCTTGTTTGTCACTTTTCTATGTTTCACTACTTTGTCCACTTTTAATTTTTTTACAGTTGACTTTATTTTTTCTTTCGACTTTCCAGATTCAACTTTTCCCTTAGACTTATAATTTTTATCACCATCTTTAGCGACTTTCTTGGGCGAACCTTTCTTTGTTGTCACATTTGGTTTTCTAGCTGTGTTGCTACCCGCTGATGCTGTACTTGGTTTCCTGCTGGCCTTTGGTGGCGACACATCCTTTTCATACATTATATTAACTCGTGCAGCAGCATTTAAACTAGCTTCACGTTTCACTCTACGGCACGGAAAATACGCCTCCATAACAGTTTTATTTGATTTATGTTTTTTCTTCTTTTCTTTCACCTTACTACTTTTTGGTGTATGTTTGCTTCCAGTTTGAACACTGTACATGTGGCCATCGCCAGATATTGCAATACGTTCACCAAGATGCACCCTCGGTTGCTTTGCTAGTAGTGATGAAGGTAGGTCGACGTCAATCCCAGAATCGTCTAATGTCCTTTTAAATTTGTAAGTCTTACCACTGCTGCCAGTGAATGTTTTGAGTGAATGTCTCGGGCTGACTACCTCACTACTTGTACTGCTGTTAACATCACTACTGTCACTGGTCGCTCCATCACTGCTTTCACTGATGTCACTGCTCGACTTTTCACCTGAAGGTTGTTCAAGTTTTATAACTTCTTCTTTGGACAGATCAACACTTGAAAGCTTCTGAAATATAAGAAACATTCAATCATATACATATCAAAAAACAATCTAGCCATTCATATACTTCAGCCCATCTAATATGTGTCATCAGCACATAGTACCTCAGACAATCTCAGATGTGTCTTCAGCATGTTTTACCTCAGACAATCTCAGATGTGGCATCAGCACATAGTACCTCAGACTAACTCAGATGTGTCATCAGCATGTTTTACCTCAGACAATCTCAGATGTGTCATCAGCACATAGTACCTCAGACAATCTCAGATGTGTCATCAGCATGTTTTACCTCAGACAATCTCAGATATGTCATCAGCATGTTTTACCTCAGACAATCTCAGATGTGTCATCAGCATGCATATGTTTTACCTCAGACAATCTCAGATGTGTCATCAGTATGTTGTACCTCAGACAATCTCAGATGTGTCATTCCTATGTTGTACCTCAGACAATCTCAGATGTGTCATCAGTATGTTGTACCTCAGACAAGCTTAGATGTGTCATCCCTATGTTGTACCTCTGACAATCTCAGATGTGTCATCCCCATGTTGTACCTCAGACAATCTCAGATGTGTCATCCCCATGTTGTACCTCAGACAATCTCAGATGTGTCATCCCCATGTTATACCTCAGACAATCACAGATGTGGCATCCCCATGTTATACCTCAGACAAGATGATGATACTAGGTTGTTTGGAGAGGTCCCTTTAACATTGTATTGATCCTGCTGATACAGAGTCGACCTTGCCTTACAAGACCGGCTTACACAGGGGCATCGTCCAAAATTGGCCTACAAAGGGGCATCGTACAATATTGGCGTACACAGGGGCATCGTACAATACTGACCTACATAGGGGCATCATACAATATTGGCCTACACAGGGGCATCGTACAATACTGGCCTACACAGGGGCATCGTACAATACTGGCCTACACAGGGGCATCGTACAATACTGGCCTACACAGGGGCATCGTACAATACTGACCTACACAGGGGCATCGTAAATTATTGGCCTACACAGGGGCATCGTACAATACTGACCTACACAGGGGCATCGTACAATACTGGCCTACACAGGGGCATCGTACAATACTGGCCTACACAGGGGCATCGTACAATACTGGCAGGTACTAGAATTATATCAGAAACATTCTGTCAAATCCATTTAATTATTCAGACCATATATGGACTAAATTTGGTATATGAATGGCCAGTTCACTTCCTGTGTAATCAGAAGTACAAATGTGTAGTTCTGACCTTAATATACCAGTTTATAAATATACCAGTTTATAAATATACCAGTTTATAACATATGGAAATGTTACCTTTCATAAATTTCTAGCTATTTACTAGTTACCATTATTTCCTATTTACCGGCATTATTCTAGCTATTTACTAGTTACCATTATTTCCTATTTACCAAGATTATTCTAGCTATTTACTAGTTACCATTATTTCCTATTTACCAGCATTGTTCTAGCTATTTACTAGTTACCATTATTTCCTATTTACCAGCATTGTTCTAGCTATTTACTAGT